GTACTTGATAATATTTTCTTTCTCAGACAGTGCAGTTTCCCAATCTAGTTTGCTTTGTGCTTGGCCATCTCCCCTGCCCTATTGACCTTTCTATGTTAAAAAAAAAAAAAAAATGAAAAAATAAAAAAGCATGTGTGTTTCATTACCATCACTTCCTCCAGGTAACAACATTAAGTGTAAAGAATTTCAATTTTGCAATAATTTTTTTGTTGTTTCTTCATGGTGATCTTGTCTAATGAGCTTTTTAGGATGGTGTCTTGGAGGTGCATATTGGTTGCATTATGATAACCTGGAAGTTTGAAATGGTTGTTAATATTGTTTGAATGCAGGAAATCTCTTAGGAACCAAAGATTTTTATATGTAAAACGGTGAATTCAAATTCTTGAGGATATTTTTTTGTAACTATTAAATAATCTAACTTTATAAAAAAAAACAAAAATCTATCCACTTCTTTTCCAACCTGATTTAAAATAAAATAGTTTTTACCATTTTTTTTTAATATACTATTTTATATGATTGACTTTTCCAATATACTGTATTTTGTTGCTTATAACATGCTTATATTAGATGCCCTCCAAAAATTTTAAAGGATAAAAATCAAGAAAAAGGTTTTCTTTGTATTTTATAGCCCTCCCTACTATCCCAACTTTTACCCACTGACTAGCATATTTCAGCATGAAAACCTGACTAATCATGACCGAGAAGTACCAAACTTATGGTAATTATTTAGAAGAGAAATTAATTCTCATCACAGACCTTCAATTTATAGGATGCAGAGTGGTTTTTGGTGATACTTTAGAGGAAAAAATGTCTTAGAAACAGAAAAATACAGTATATTTCTTTTACTTATTGAAAGAAAGCCCTAACTTTTCACAGAGGCTTGTAACCACACAAGTTGAAAGTTAAAGTCAATATTTTATGGAGAGTACATATACTTCAGTAACTGACATCATATCACGAGTCCCATAATGCATTAAGGTCCTAAGTACATCCTATGTACAGCAGTCATAGCAACAGTGGTGTGTCTTGGGCAAGAGAGCCTGATTGTGACCATTCCACTTCAGGTTGGTTTTGGTTTCACATTTCCTTCTTCTAGACTGGTTCCAACCTTGAGGCAAGAGAGCCCCAATTTGTCTTGTTATTTAACCCACTGCTGGGGGAAAGTAGATCTGTGCCTTTTTCAAGGGAATTAGTGCTAAGGGAAAGAAACAGGAATGAACAGGAATTGAACTTAACATGCCAAATTCACTTTCCATGCTAATAATCATTATATTATGCCAACAATTGGCTGCTTCTGTAAATAAACAGAAACTAACCATTTGGTTGTCTGTTCTCTATGGAAGTTTTTGAAAAAATATATTTTCAATCTTTACTTGAATTTTAGTTTGTGTATTTATTTAAGATTTTTTATTACGATTGAGCATTTTAAAAATTAAAAAATAGGAATGATACATTGTATAACTTTATTCTTCCTTCTTTTCCTCACTAAATGTAAGCAAAAAAATAATTGCATTTATGTAAACTTTGGAAGAATGTTTGATTAAAGCATTTCTTTTAATGTCTTGCAAGTTTCTGGCGTGTTTGGCTTTAATGTTACAGGTTCATCTAGAAAGCCTGTTTAGTTAAGTATTGCTGCAGGTTGAACAAGTTTTTATTTGTGAAAATTTATCTTGAAGAGAGGGAAGAATATTTTTTATTATTAAAACAAAAACAGAAAAGAAAAAAACTTGAAATTTTGATGGAATATATCATTTTGGAGTCAAAAATAATTCAACATTAAAAATATCACCATAAACATAGTTGTTGTGCATATTTTATGCTTTACATGTGGTTGATGACCATGTAAGATGTTCTTTAAAGACGAACCAGCTGTAGAAGTGATAGTTAATTTATTTTAGATTAAATTTGCTGTATTATGTTCAAGATATGTTAAAAAAAAAAAAAAGTCTTAGTTTGAGCTCTTGAATTTCAGTAATCATAAAGTGGAATAGATAATCTCTTTTAGCGTTATTGGGGTGGGGAAACGAACCTCAAACAAGCTATTAGTTATCAGGGGACAGTTGTCCAAATACTTCCTTGTACACTTGCCCCCTTGCATATTTAATGTAGGTCTAATAATGCTCGAAGTGGGTGGGAAATTATTTCTAGATGAATATTAACAAAATAGAATTTTCAGTGACGATGTGGTTAAAAAATATTGTCTGTATATACAGCTGGATTCAAAGTACGTCTCTTCTTACAAATGTTAAACAATGCAAGAAGACACTTTGAAGTATTGCACTGAAATAAAGAATAATATCCGAGTGAAGTCCAAAGATAGATTTGAGTGTTCGTGTTATGATATTGTGCCAAGATATTATATTTATTTTCCTGGCAAGAACTTAGCACAACTTTTATAGTGGCCAGTTTTATGGATTTCATTTTGGAAGATTTTCTGGAGGGCATTCTTCAAGTGCCGCTGAATTCATTATTTTGTCTCTGCCATAATTTTGACTTGAATAGAATAACTAGTAATAGTTTTGCTATCTTTCTGATTGTGGAGATCTTTATCAATTCTTCAATGGTGTTGAAGTTACTACAACTGCCCATTTGTTGAAGCACCAAGTCTGTGTACCTCCACCCCAGGCGTCTGGAATCATTCCATTAAAGACCCTGCCAAAAGTTTGATTTTTCTCTCTCTTTCTCTCTTGGAAGAGAAAGAAAGAGAGAGATGATTTTATGGTTGAGGTTTATTTGCGAGTTGTTTAAAATTGTTTTTTAGGTTGGAAAAGAATTCATTCTTTAATTATATGAATTATCTTTTTGCATATGAAAGAGAAACACTTAAAATATAAATAATGGCTTTGTTTTTTTAGAACAAATTCACTGTGGTGTAAAAATTTTGTGTTTCCTAAACTGGTTTATTGCATGCTTTATTTCTAATGATGTATATTTAAAACAGAAAACTTTTTTCAACTGTTGACTGCATTAATAAACTTTGTTAGAAAACATATTTAATTAAATTTGTTTGATTAAAAAAAAAAAAAAAGCTGAATTTGTTTCAAAACTTACTTTCACTCTTCCCATTCAATACAATATAACAAGTTCATATTTTTGTCTAATTCTTGACTGTAATAGTTATTTCTGATGACACCAGAACAAGGGGGATAACTCTATGGCAGCTAGGAAGGGAAAAACTGACTCTGTGAAAGACTAGAGTACAACTATAACAATTGGGTGGTGGGGAGTGCACATATGTTGCCATTTTAAAAACTGGGTAAATATATAAAACGCAAACTCCATAATGGTCAGAACATATTTGCATCTGAAGATTGCAAGAACTGCATGAAACTCTGAGTGGTGCTAATGATATTGGACATTAGGTATATTTACTAATATATACTTATAGTTCTGTTTCATAATATTCATAATTTTATCCTACCCATTCCGGTATATAATATAGTGTACTATGGCTCACCATAATTTCTTGTTTTTTTGTTCTTGAAATAGTTCTTCCTAACTCCTGGGTTTCAGCAAAACTTTCACCGGTCCATTCGATGACGTTGTCTGACCATTTCCTTCTCTGATGTACCCTTCTCTTTCCTCCGTGTATCTTTTTCTTGTTGGATGGTCTTGAAGATGCCTCGTGATCTACTTACGTGCTCATACTACTTTAGTTTCTCCTTTATGGAGGAGATTAACACATCTCAATAGCCATTCATCTGGGGATACACTCTTCTTCTGCACACCTTTTCATTTGTGGTGCACTCAGTGGAAGACATTGGAAGTATCTCATCTCTGCAGCTTTGATTGGTGCCGTTGGTGTCCTGCTGTTAGAGTTCATGACTCTCATGCATACATGAGAAGTGACAAGATGAAGTCATGCAACAATCTCAGATTGCACGAGATTGTTGATGACCTTACCAATTGCTAATTTGTCTAAGTCTGTCATCGTCTCTATTACAATCTCATCTGGTTCTATTGCTTTGTTCTGCTTCGTCTTGGTCAAATGCTGACCTAACTTACACATACTCGTTTTAGGTTTTTTTTCCTTTATTTATATGTATAGTAGATTTCTTTTCTCATATAAAAGCTTTTCAATCTATTCATTCCATTACTGAAGTATTTTTACTTTTTCTATAATGATTGTTTCTTTTTTTTTTGTAGATTTTAGAGATTTCACATATTATGCATTTTGCTATTTTCTAAAAATTTTTTTTTTTTTTCGCATCTGCCTATTACATCTGTGTTCTGCAGTTTTTCAGTCTCTGCACATTTCTTATTAAGCCATTCCTCTTTTGCTTGCATTTAAGAATTTCAACTGTCACCCATTTCTTTTTTTTCTTTTTTTCTATCCTCAATGTGATTACTGTTAGTGCTTCTTTTAAGGCATTCCACTTTTGAGTCCTTGACCTTTTTCAGAGTTTCCTAGATGTTCTTTACTGCAACTGCATTTGTTTGTTTGCAAATGCAGTTGGGCAGTTTGTTTTATTGTAGTTTAGGCTTTGGGTTTCTCTAAGTTTTGTAGCTTTCCCCTTAGTTTGCATATAACCAGGAGACAATCATATCATCCCTGCACTCAGCACATGCGTATGTTTTAGAGTGCAGAACAGCATTTCATAATTGTTTGTTGATGGTTAAGTAATCTTTGTGTTTTTTTAAATGTATCCTGCCAGGCTTTTCCAAGTCTATAAGCATTTTGAGTATTCTTAAAGCTAAATGTTGGTTTTACTTAGCAATTCACTGTGCACCATTTGTGTCCATTTGTTTCCTGTAGTTTCTTGCCACTATTTTGTTTCTTTTCTTTACTCACTTGCCTTTTATAGTTCCTCTTTGTTACTACTTTGCCATTTCTAGTTTCTTTTCTGTAATCCATTGCCAGTTCTTGTACCTTTTCTATACTCTTGTGTCATTTCTTGTCCCTTTTCTGTCCTCTTGTGTCACTTCTTGCGTCACTTCTTGCTCCCTTTTCTGTACTCTTGTCATTTCTTGTCCCTTTTCTGTCCTCTTGTCACTTCTTG